CAAAAGACACAGACGTTTGGAAGTTTAGAGCCTTACCACTGTAAAAGGCTCTAAAAAATGTGAGTTAATTTACATTCGAACTCACATATACAATTGAAATTAATTCTTTAGACATATTGCACTATTATTTGTATATATCTGTTTTTTCCCTATATATATGTATACGGAAATACGAGCATTGTATAGATGGTAAGTGCTTTCTGGCACTACATATATATATTCACAATATTTAAATTTACACTGAAGCGCTTCACTCACGGGAATTGAGGATTTAAAGGGATAGACACCTGATAAATCTGTAAATTTCCTCCATTGTTTTTGGTGATTTCTATGTATGTTGGGTTTTTAGGAGTACCCACAGAGTGTATAGCAGCTAAATTCACTTTAATATAATAATTCTATAGCGCCACCTTTCCACAACCTGTGTGTGTATACTCAAAACTAGAATTAGTTTGTCAAAATGTTGCCAAATTTGGATTCTAACCAATCCGAAACTCCAACTTTAGTTTAATGGTATGGAGTGTCTTGTCACAAGTCATCAGTAAAATATATATAGGTGACTGATGATAGGTGAAACACGTTGTGGCTTTAAATGCCCCTAATATCACTGCAATCACTGTTATGATGATACTGCTATTTCTGGATGCCTCACTAATGAGGCATTACAGAAATAGTTTTTCCCCACAAGGCTTGCGATCACGGGTCTGCCATAGGGATGCACCGAAATAAAAATTCTTGTACATAACTGAAAATTCAGGATGGCCTTGGCTGAAAACCAAAACTGAAAATTACTTTTTTCCCCAAATGATTTGTGTAGGTTATGTAGTGTGTGTATAGAATATAGTGAGGTGTAGGAAATGGATTTAGTGTGTATATGTATAGGTTATGTAGTATGTGTATGGAATATAATGAGGTGTGGGAAAGGAATGTAGTGTGCATGTGTGTAGGTTATATAGTGTGTGTAGGGAACATGGTGTGGTGCAGTATAGAGATGTAGTGGGTAGGTTATGTAGTGTGTGTAGGGAACAAAGTGTGGTGTGGGATAGGGGTGCAGTTTGTATGTTAAGTAGAGTGCGTAAGGTACATAGTGTGGGGTGGGCTAGGGATGTAGTGTGTGTAGGGGTGTGTTTGGGATGTGATAGGGGCGTAGGGCACATAGTGTGGGGTGATAGGGATGCAGTATGGGTAGGACACATAGTATGGGATGGGGTGGGATAGGGATGGCAGAGTGAGGGGGTGACAGGTGGCAGAGCATGGGAGGGAGAGGGTGACAGACGTGGGAGGGAGTGACAGGTGACAGAACGTGGGAGAAAGGGAGTGACAGGCTGCAGAGTGAGGGAAGGAGGGGGTGACAGGTGTCAGAGTGAGGGAGTGACACGTGGCAGAGTGAGGGGGTGACATAGTAAAGGAGGGGGGTGCCTAGTGGCAGAGTGTGGGAGGGAGGGGGTGACTAGTGACAGAGTGAGGGAGTGGGTGACTGGTGACAGAGTGAGGGACGGGGTGACAAAGTGAGGGAGGAGGTGACTGGTGACAGAGTGAGTGGGTGACTGGTGACTGAGGGAGGGGGTGACAGTGACTGAGGGAGGGGGTAACTGGTGACAGATTTACTGAGGGAGGGTGTGACTGGTGACAGAGTGACTGAGGGAGTGACAGTGACTGAGGGAGTGATAGGCCCATTTTCAGGCCGAAAATATCGGCAGCTGATATTGCGGTGCCTCCCTAGTCAGCCATGCATAACATTCCCAGGCAGCCATGAGACCTCCATAACAAGTTGTACATGCCACAATCTTGACGAATATTGCTTGTTAAGACATGTGATTACTGTGATTGGCTCCCAGGGTGATCAATCAACCTGAGAGTCAATCTAGTAAACTGAATAGTTAGGGTTAGTGATTGACAGCTAGGGTTAGGACTAGGGTAACAATTAGTGTTGAGGGAGGGATAGAAATTGCATCAAAGTGTGATGGTGGTCAGTAGGATGACACTGAAAATGTTGTCACCAAATAGTATATCTATGAAGCAATTAAAGAGGCATGTCTCTAATGTGACTCTAGAAATGGCCCATAAACTGAGTAAATATATACGTGGGGATATTGCTGTACTCAGTGGCAGTAGTTGAAGACAACTTATGGGTATTTACAGTAGTGGGACATACATTGTCTTTGAAATAATCCTGAAAATTTTTATGAAAACTATCAAAATACTGATAGTTTGATATTCTGATACAATTACTTATTACAAATAGTTACTTTTGTGTAGCGAGTTTGGATTCTATGATTGCTAGTTAAAGTGTCAGCATCCATAATGTTGCAAGGTTTAGTTTTAAAACTAAAATTCATTGTCCTATAGTTTTCAAAAATGAATTGACATTCTAGATATATGAGACATTTTAATTTTCAGGACCAATGGATAAATCTATTTTGTGGTTATTTTTGACATTGCACTAGAAGTTATTAGCTGCAAAACTGCAAGAAAATGTTTTTTTTTTTTTATTCCCCCTACTACAGCATTAGAAATACATCAATGTAGGGCTCCTTTGTGTGTGTTAAAAAAAAAAAAAAAAGGTTGACTTACTTTTTAACTCTCGTGATGATATTTCACTTGTCTGGCTGAGATGATCAATCTTGATGATCTCAGCCAATCCAATGCTTCCTCATAGTGAAACATTGGATGGCTAATACACATGCATGGCATATTGCTGCACTGCTCCAACTCCAATCAACATTATCTGGCTATAATCAATGTTATTAATACTATTGTACTTCTCTTTTCCTACTTTAGTCTGAATTTTACCTTTTACTGTCAAATGCAATCCTCATTATACTACCCAGTTTGCATATAAACTTACCTTAATACAAATGTCCTCTGTCTCTGTTTTACTCGAAAGCACAATTACCATGTACAACGTTCTTTATTATTTGCATTATCAGTTTCCAGGATCAATATTTTATTTTTCACCCACAATCTAAAGCTGTGCCAGTTGCCCTTAATAAATAATATATGTTTGAAAAAAATAAATAAAATATATATATATATATATATATATTATTTTGGTCAGAAAGATCCACAGTTATCCCATGTGTCTTCCCAGAACCCCTGTTTGTTTTGACAATGTTTGTGATTGTATGTGTAGCTAAGTGCTTGATTATAAGAGGTTAGTTATGCCTGCAGCTTTATGAATGAGGTATAAAATTGTCACACACAGGGTCCCAAAATTGGTAGAGTGCGTCTCCAAAGATGAACATTTCTTTAATGAAAATTCTTGTCCAATGAAGATATGAGGACCACAATTAAGAAACACTTACTTTCTAAATTTAGGATTAACAATGAAAAATCAAACTTTGTTGAGGTAATATATGGCTGGTATAAAGTAGACTGGTGGTGTAAACTTGATTGTGCTCTTGTTTTACGACAAAAATACCAACTTGTATGGTAAATTTATAAACAAATGCCTTAACAATATACTTGACAAAATATTCAACAAGATTAACCATACATTCAAAGATTTCTGTCATATAAAAGGTCATAGATTGAAATGTTTGAACAATAACCTTCTGCAGCAGAAGTCAGCTAAAATACATGTAAAGCATTAATAAATTAAGCATTAATTTCATAGCAAAGAAATCTAATATGAAAAAATGAGCGCACTCACTGGATTCCAAAAAATCAAATTGGTGGATTAAATGTTCCCAAAATTGATCTACTTTGTGAACATTTAATACACTAATTTGATTTTTTGGAATCCAGTGAGTGTGCTCATTTTTTCATATTGGATATATTTTCAACCTTGTGCTGCACCTTGGTATTGATCTATATATTTTTTCATCATAGAGGGTGAGTGCCAGATGCTAATGCAAAACTCTAAAATGAAGACATTGTAAGTCCGTCATATAAATATCATTCCAAGTATACAAAAATCATAATTATACAATAATGTATAAGAGTTACCATTGTGAAATATGACTGTTGGCTAAATAACATTATATTGATAACCTACTGTGATTTATAGTGCTTTGAATACATTGCTACATTATGTTTAACAATTATAGAAAGCTAGGGAACCATTATAAATGAAGTCAAAATACAGTTGAGGCTTGTAAGCTATGAGTGATTATAAAAGGAATGGTCTCAGCCCTGCTTGTTCATTAAGAGTTTTCCATAAATAATTTGTGTGTTATAATTATGTAATGATATATCTAACCCTATATTAATAGGGTAAGATTAGTTACTACAGAGGCAGAAGATCATAACTTAAACAAGAAGGGAACCAAGTCAGTCCTAGTAACTGGATCATAGTATATTATATAGAATGTATATCTAAAGAACTAAATATATTTGAATATATATGAAATTATTTGTGCCACAGTTTCAAGGTTTAAATCCAAGTATTTCCAATATGATGAATACCTTATATAAAACATTCCTGGGCTCAGATTTAAACAATTCTCTATAAAAAAAAAAATGTGTATTTCTTTTTTTTTTTTTTTTATTCTTTATTTTGGTGTGCACATGAGTAACAGTAAACCTTAGTGCGCCACAACAGCATCATCATGGTTTGTTAATAAACATTTGCATTACAGGTTGTGGAATTTGATTATCAGGCACATATTTTTTTTTTTTTTGGTTAGTGATTGCAACAACATTGGTGCTCTATTTGGTTAAACTTTAAAGTATGCAAGGTAGCTGGTGGGCTGCTACGATCTGACCTTTTCCATACCCGGCTTCAGGGATGTGGATTGGACGTGACTTCCGTGGACTCCATGCCATGCCGCTGCTTTCCATCTCTGCTCTTTGTGCAGCCTGGAGGCAAAATCATGTGCAGGCCTGTGGGTAGGAGTGACGTTCGGCAGGCTGTTGCTTAGTGTAGGCCGCCATTTTAGCTACCAGGCGCGTGGTGTTCAATGCCAGGTAGGCGTGATGGTGGGCCTCTGTGTGGTGGTGATTCTGTCTGGTGGGGACCGGGATACCCCCCCTGTCCGCGGGGTCCGCGAGGTGTATCTCTAGGCTTCTGCGTGGCAGCCAGGCTCCCGAACAGGACGGCGGCTGTCCGTCCCGTTCTCCACCCTCGTAGGCCGCAGACCCCAAAGTCTCATATCACCCACGGGGGGCTCCGAAACTCCCGATCTCGGGGACCGTGGTGGCTCTGGCGTCTGCTCCGATACTTGAGACAGCTTTTGGTCACCCAGATTGCTGTGGTGCTTAAGTTTTGTGCCACAGGGGACCAATTTTGTCAGGAGCCTCTCCAGCCCGCGACCAGTCAGCATGGCGGTCGGGCCCCTCCCCCTAAAAAAATGTGTATTTCTTAATGTGATAGACACACAGACACCAAAATTAAATGGATAAGTCTAGAGAAAAATTTACGTCTGAAACTACATGATACACAAATAGTATATAGAAGCTTCATGTAATGAATTTAAGCTATCAGTGTCTGTAGGAATATTTCATAATGAAGAGACCTTAGTAGTTAAGTTGATAATGTCACGTATTCATCCACTTATAGAAATGTGGTTAATGACATTTACTGTCCACACAGGAAAAGTTGTGCCGAGCAGCAACCTAATCCACAGAAGGTTTAATGCTGAGCAGTAATTGTGCAAATGAAACCTGGTCTCATGTATTCATCCGCTTATAGAAAAGTGGTTAATGACATTTACTGTCCACACAGGAAAAGTTGTGCCGAGCAGCAACCTAATCCACAGAAGGGTTAATGCTGAGCAGCAATTATGCAAATGAAACCTGGTAACTGACTTTGGGGTCAAAGGCCGGTTACAGCCTATCAGAACTAAAGGAGGGGTATTTAGGCCCAGTTCTCAGCCTGCTCAGTGCCCTGTCGTGGTTTCCCTTGTGGTTGTCCGAGAGCGCGTTCCTGTTTATAGTTTTCTACCTGGTTTTTGACTTTGGCTTTGTTTATTGACTTCTCTATATTCTGGTATCCTGACTCCTGGCTTTCCTCATCGCTGTGTCCCTTTCTGTGTTCCCTGACCTCGGCTAGTATTTTTGACTATTCTTTGTACGTTAAATCCGGCCATTCTAAGGACCGGTAATACGTTACTTATTTGTCATCCGTGCTGTACAGTTCTATGTGCTGGATCTAACAGTAATCCTGACAGATAATTATGGTGCACCATGTATCATGTGTAAGTTAATATTTGTTTGTGCTGTGTTTGTCAAAGTTTTTTTAATGTTTGTGTCTCTAAGTTTTCTGTACTGTGTGTTTGTATGTGTGTTAACTTTATTTTGTTTGAATTTTTACTTAGAATGTGAATTGTATTATATTATATTTTTTTAACTGGATACAGGAATTAACATAAATTTTAAAATTGCTGGGTATCAAGATCTTTTGGAACAACTGTGATAAAAATAAGAGTGAGACATTCCACTGTCCTGCTTGTAGCTTAAAGAAAAAGTCTTGTCCTGGACGCAAGGAGCACGATTCAGAGTTAGCCAACAGGTGAAGACATCACTAAGTATGTTTGGAATGTTGTATAGCTAAGACAAAATACCAGAAGGCCAGTGTAAATTATCATTAAGCAATAGTATCAGAGCTAGGGTTGCCCTGATAGTTGACTTGGCGACTACAAGGTGCTCAATTTTTCTCACTGTGCTTCCTGCTTCTTTGGCCACAAGGACAAGTAGAGATATTTTTGAGTAGAGAATAAAAGCAGAAAGGAATGGAGGCACATAGAAAGGGATGTAAAATTTCACAAAAGGGAAACAGAGGGAAAAACCTGGCACAATTTAGAAAGTGGAGAATGGAATAGCACGCATAAGAGTGAAAAGGAACCACAACAACAAAGCTAAGAAGAGAAGAAATATAAAGCAAAAAGTGTGGAGTAGAGAAAGTAAAAAGGATACAGAATTGAGAGTCCATGGAGATTAATGGGACTTGAGAGACCATGGAGATTAATGGAACCCTAACACATAATTTATGTAATAAATATATATATATATATCATGCTGCAACATGAGGTGATGGTCGTGGATGAATGGCATAACAATGGGCCTCAGGATCTCATCACGGTATCTCAAAATGCCATCAATAAAATGCACCTGTGTTCGTTGTCCATAACATATGCCTGCCCATACCATAACCCCACCACCACCATGGGCCACTCGATCCACAGCGTTGACATCAGCAAACTGCTCACCCACACGACGCCATATACCCTGTCTGCCATCTGCCCTGTACAGTTAAAACTGGGACTTATCCATGAAGAGAACACCTCTCCAAAGGGCCATTTGCCCACTCAAGACGGCTATGACGATGAACTGCAGTCAGGTCGAGACCCAGATGAGAATGACGAGCATGCAGATGAGCTTCCCTGAGATGGTTTCTGACAGTTTGTGCAGAAATTCATTGATTATGCAAACTGAATGTTGCAGCAGCTGTCCGTTTGGCTGGTGAAGATGCTGGATGTGGAGGTCCTGGGCTGGTATGGTTACACGTGGTCTGCGGTTTTGTGAGGCTGGTTGGATGTACTGCCAAAATCTCTGAAATGCCTTTGGAGACAGCTTATGGTAGAGAAATGAACATTAAATTAATGGGCAACAGCTCTGGTGGACATTCCTGCAGTCAGCATCTCAATTGCACGCTCCCTCAAAACATACGACATCTGCTGCATTGTGCTGTGTGATAAAACTGCACATTTTTTAAAGTGCCCTTTTATTGTGGCCAGCCTAAGGCACACCTTTGCAATAATCATGCTGTCTATTCAGCATCTTGTGTGCCACACCTGTGAGGTGGATGGATTATCTCGGCAAAGAAGAATGCTCACTAACACGGATTTAGACAGATTTGTGAACAATATTTGAGAGAAATAGGCCTTTTTTGAACATAGAAAAAGTCTTAGATCTTTGAGTTCAGCTCATGAAAAATGGGGGGAAAAACAATTGTTGCATTTATAATTTTGTTCAGTGTGTATATATACATATATAAATAAAACAAAGGGACATCAAGTTATCCAAAGTCTCACATGGTTTAGACATGTCCTGGCAGGACATGCCGTTTTCCTTTTTTACGCTTTGTTTATTTTTCTATATTGTTTGTGCTGAGTAACAGTGCTTTCTCAAAACCTCCCCTCAGTTTTATTATTTATTATGATTTGGTATAAGTGTGACCCGTTTCTCACCATCTCAATTTATATAGTATCAAGTGTCATTTAGAATTCAAATTAATTTTCTTTTGTGTTTGTCTCAAGTACAGTACCAAAACCAATAGCTGTGTATATATCTATAAAATGGTAGCATATACAATAAATGGTGTGTCATTACTTATTTCATGTACAGAATGAACTTAAAATCCCCAATCACAGAATTAATTTGTAATAATCCCAAATAAAAGATCTCATTTGTAAAAATATTTAATTATCAACAGTTTGTATCCATTCTTATGCACTGATACTTGTAAAACCCAAATTCATTCTGATCATCAATACCATTTATGTAACTTCCTTTACAATGTACTGTTTTTTTTTCTAATTGGACAGAGAACTACACTACAGCACTATGTGAAAAATTTTTTTTTTTCTAGCAATGGTCTTCTCTTTCTAGAAGGATTGAGCAATATTAAAATAAAAGAAAAAAATACATCTACAATATTTCCAGGCACAGAGAAATGAAATCCCACTTTATTATACATATTTCAGATAAAATATAATAGCTTTATGTGCCACCTGTCTAACGTTATGCACAAATGCACAAAAATTATTACTATACGGGAAGATCAATGGGTTGAATCATAAATTCAGATGCATCAATCACATACAAGGTTATAAAGTGAGATGTTCTTAACACTTTGAATCAAAAATCTCCTGGGGTAGAATGTCATTGATTGCATCAGTTGCTCTAGTGTAACAACTGGTTTGAACAATATCACAAAACATACATCAATATACATAAAACAATAGCCACAACAGGCAAAATCTAACTATCTGTGATATCTATATAATTTTCTCAAAAAATAAAAACCTAAAAATATTTGTGACTATACCTGTATAAATACGAGATTTTGGAATGGAAGTTAATTTAAAAAAAAATGCTGTATATGTTTGGCTTAAAGATAACAATGGTAGCAGTTACAGTTTAAAGATTTTGTATGTCCATTTGGTCAAAGGACAAAATTATTTAAAGTTAAAAAGAGAGAATTTTAGCTACTGTTTTTCTATTGTTTTTAGTAGCAATAGTAACAATGTATGCATGATTTTATGTTTTTCGAATGACTGAAGTCATCACATATAGACACTTACAACAAATATCAGAACACTGTCCATAGTAAATAAATTACATTACCTTGGATAAAAAGGTTATCTGACTGTCATTTCTAGTGATGATTCAAGCTAGCTGCACAGAGACAGTCGACCACTGGGTAGTCGTCTCCTTTGGCAAAGTTCGGTCTAAGCCAGTCTTTTCCTTCTCATGAAAAACACTGACCCACAACATATATTATAGAACCTTAACCCCATAGAATTAATTAGATTTTAAAGCACTACAGAATATGTTTGCTCTATTAGGGAATAAGAATAATATGTGTATTTATGGCTTAATGGTCACTTATGGGGTTCCTCTTCAGTTCCATTTGTGAGAGTGCAAAACGGGAAGCTCCTACAATTGTGTGTGTGATCCAGTAGACCTCTCTCACACAAAATAAGATGTTACCAACATTACATGATGTTTCAGAAGAAGCTGCACGCAGCATTAGAGCTTCAATTAAATTATAATGCTGTCTTTAGAATTTTTTTTTATAAAGATTCTATCTTTATGAAAAACTCAAACATAATAATAATAAAAAAAAAGCTTAAAAGCCACTTTAGTAAATACTAACTTTATGTAGAATGGTAATATTTGGAGCCCCCTTTCAATAGGTGTCTAATTAGTCTAATTAGAGTTGATAACTTATTTTACTGCTTCAAACACTCTAAGTGTGATACCCTTAAAACACACCATACACAATGCAAAAGATAAGAAAAAAGAGGAATAAGAGTGGAGCAATATATTGTAAAGTGAAAATTTAGGCAGTATCCCTTTTAAAATCTACAAGTGTAGAAAAATGTAAGTAAAACCAAAAGCAATACTTAATTTCCAGGGAAGAATCTTCCATACATAGATTTTTCAAAACATGTAGGAAAAAGACATAAAAAGAGCAAATAATAGTGCAGATTGTACTTAAAATGTTATATGTATTCCCAGATTATAGACCCCAAACACAAAGGGCAAAGGATATACAATAAGACAGTACAACTTTATGTAGTTGTACTAAGATTCTGCA